ATGTTTTCGTCGGTGGTAGAGGTCGAAGGTCGTCCAGAACGCGGCATGTCTTCGACGGTCGTACGACAGTCCTGAAAGGCTTTGTACCACTCATAAACTTGAGTTTTCGATAAAACTGATTCCCCATAAGCCTTTTGTAGCATTCGCAACGATTCTGCACACGAAAATTCGTTCGAAACACAAAATTTGATGCAAACTCTTTGATCAATATTTTTTTCCATTGTTTTTTTCGCAACGCACTACTGAGGTGAACTGGTTTCAACAGCTGCCGTAAACGAACTTGTCTGACAGATCGCGCTCATTTTGGCATAGTAATTAAGGACAGTGCTGCCAAACTACAATAAACTTAAAATATCGAAAAATATACAGCGCGCGAATTTTAAATGAGAATTTCCGAAAACTTTTCGGTCACAATGTATATCTAAATCTTAAGTGTACGTCTTCCATAGTGCGCGTTACTTAAGTTTTAGTATTAATTTAAATAGTTCTATTAAAGTTTTTTCAATTTTATATATCCTATAGTCTCTCAATTCATTTTTAATTTAATGATTGGATGTAATAGAAAAGGAATCATTTCGTAGCAGTATATGATCTGATTTAGTTACCTATTAGATAAATATAATCTAATAGGAGTTTTTTTAGGTGTATTAAATGCATTGATATCGTTAAGTATGGTTTGACAGCTGAGGATGTCAAACTGTGTTGACATTTCTGTGCATTAAGATTTGGCAACACATCATGAATCGTTTAATACTAAAAGAATTCTTCCAAATTATGAAAATTTACTTTAAAAAAAATAAAACTGTTCGCGAGGTTCAAAGAGCAATTCATGATTTGGTGATGAAGCTCATATCTGGTTAAATGACTACGTCAATAAGCAAAATTGCTGCATATGGAGCCAAATAATCCTCAAGTCGTTAACGAATTACCATTACACCTATTATAAATAACTGTTTGGTGCGGTTTATACGCTGTCAGCATCATCGATTCTTATTCTTATCTTTTGAAATAAGGAAGAAACTGCCGTTACGGTGAATGGGGACTACATTTGGTTCCAACAAGACGGTACAACCTTCGCAATGGATTTATTGCGAAATAAATTTAGTATAAACTTAATAACTAAAAGTGATCCTGTTAACTGGTCCACACATTAGTGCGATTCAACAGTAACACCTCTCGTTTAGTTTTTATGGGACTATGTTAAGTCATTTGTTTAGGCCAACAAACCAGCAAATCTTGAAGCATTCATGTCACCATTGATGCCATTCAAAAATTGGACTGATCGAATGGACCACGGAATAGAGCCCCGACGGACATATGACGGAAATCATATTTAAAAAATTAATTCCATAAAATTATTTACCAGATTATAATAAAATAAATTTTATTCCAACAATATTTCAGTCTTGTAATTCTATATATAAATGTATATATATTTTTAATTATTCTCCCTTCCCCTTTTCTTATTATCTCACATATTATTCTGAATCACTTTCAACCTATCATATCGCTAATTGAGGTGCATTTAACTCACCTGCAATAATTTTTTAAATAATTAATTTACTCAAATGACTTATTTCTATTTTCATGCGATGCCTTTAAGACCGAAGCATATCATTGCAATGTGCAGCCACGTCGTTTAATATCTTATACTATTTACAATTGTTTTTATTTATAATGCATTGCATTCACTTACATTGTTTATTTTTTTATGATTTTTTTTTGTTTTGTTTTGTTTTTTTTTTTTTTTTTTTTTTTTTTTTTTTTTTTTTTTTTTTTTTTTTTTTTTTTTTAATAAGAGTCCGTCGGACTGCAACTGTTTGTATGGCACATTTTAAGATTACTACGTCGCATTCTATTGTGAAAATGAAAACAATAACGACTGTGGCGAATACGTAACGTAAGCGTAACATAAAACAACGCAAAAACAATAACAACCGCAGCACAACCATAACACTACAAAAACAACACTAGTAATTGCAATAACAACAATCTTAAGCACTTTAATTACCCTCCAGAAATACATACTACGTACTACGTTTTAGTATTTCGTTTAGTATGGAACATGGAACTGAGATAGTTTATGTGTAATGCAAGCCGTTCTGTTTACAGGTTTTCATTAGTATTTTTTTTATTTTTTTTATTATCGTTTAGTTTTGTTCTCCGATAAATTCATTCACAAATATCACTCAAACCTAATGAGAGGTGATATTAAGTCCATTAAGACCAGACCAGCAAATATTATTCTTTTTTTTTGCAAATGTGTAATAAAATTTTATGTATTTTTCCAAAAATATTTAATTGGCATCGTTAATATTTATATTAGTAAGAAATATGTTGCTTGAAATTAAAAACACAATAGCCTTTAGTCACAGGTGTTTAATTTCTCAATATATAGGGTTATCCACTTCTTGGTGGCCATTTCATATCACTTAAATATAAAAAAAAAAATTTGTCAAAAAAACTCTTCGCGCAATAAAGTTAACACAGGAAGTTTGGAAGGCGTGGGACTTTTGCGTCGAAATCACATATATTCCACATCCATATCATTAATATGAACTCAACAAAAAAAAAATTAATGCCAATAAGAAAAATACAAAGACAATATTTTAAAAAATATTAAAATAAATATAAACTAATAGTAAAAAAATAATATTAAATAAATACGGACTCATCACATTTTCAAATTATATGTTATTATAATACATATATAATAGTATAATGGATCTTATAGTTGCAAGGGTCTTTTAACAATTACTTATCAATTTTCGCTGCCCCCGATCTTATCACTAAAAAAATTGAGTTAATAAGAAATTTTCTCATTACTGTTTAACTCTTTACATAAAAAACTGTTAAAAAGATTTTTTGTGAGGTATTGAAGAGACGTCGTTTATCCCATAAAGTATATATTATTGATTAACTCAACGAGCTGAGTTCACTTGTTCAGAATTTTGTAGCGCATTGAAAAAAACGTCCTAGATCTCATAAAGTGTATATATTCTTGTTTACTTCGAAGAACTGAGTTCATTTAGTCCTGTCCGTCTATACATTTCATATAACTCTTTCAATTTTTGAAATATTTGAATTAAATTTGTGTACATGCTTTTCGGAAGTGGACTTTGATAATTCGTCGCATTGGCCAAAATCAGACCACTATATACTATAGCTGGCATAAAAACTGAACAATCGGATGTGAGTTTTCCCAGTTTTTTATTAAGATATTCAAATGAAGTTTGGTACAGAATTTATTTTACATTGTATTTATGGAATATAAGACAATGTACCAAATTTTATTCATATTGGGCTTTATTTAGATATAGCTGCCATACAAACTGGCTTTTCAGAAACAGGTTTTTGTTATAAAAATATTTTTTTAGTTTCTATTGTATGTATATAAAATTCAGAACTAACGAATCATTTAGAAAATGAACCTCGTTTATTGAATTTGCCGAAACTACTATAGCTGCCGTATAAACTGAACAATCGTATATAAATTTTTAATAAAGATATGGAAATAAAATTTGGTACATATGGTAATATACTTATACTCGTATGAGAAAATATATAAAATTTTATTTACATCGGCTTTGATTTAAGTATAGTTGCATTATAAACTGCCATATCATACCCAAGTTTTTGTTGAAAAACTTGTAGTAGAAATGGAATTAATCACTTTTAATTTAGATATAGCTTGTAAATAAACTTTTGGAACATGTTTGTCTTTAAAAATTTTTTTGAAATGTATATATTACATTAAATATATTATCATAAATAAGACATCAATGTAGATTTATTATTCTATGTAAAGTTTTGGCAAATCCAAAGCTAACATCTGTACTTATAGTATTATTGATATAGGATATGTCCACTGCGACCGTCGGGTCTATTATGCGGCTATACTTTTAGTAAGTTTTCATAGTTGTAACACATTCAGCAGTTGTCAATTATTGACTTAATTATTTAATTATTAAAACTCCAACAAGGAATCATTTCTGATTTCCTATGTGTATCAGAATTTTTTATTCCTACATAGGGAAAACTTGTCAATTCATTTTCTGTCAGAGAAACCTAGTCGTCACTTTGTTAACATATCTTATATAACAAACTGTGGAATATTTTATAATACATTTTATTACAATTTATTGTATATAGAATTTATAACTTCACACGATTCACATTGTAAAAACATTAACCTGTAACTTAGCATTTGATGTCTTGGATGAGAGTTTGGTTTGGCTAATGTCACGGACACTATGTATGTTTTGTCGTTCGTCGCAGTATTAAATCAGAATAAATATACGTATGTATGACGGAATTGTGTCATATATATCTAAACACAGGTTGTTCAAAAACGCTGGTTAAATATAATGATTTGATAAATGACATAACAACAAATATACTCAGTTTTTAATAAATTCTACTATATTTACTACTATATTTATCTGTAGTAGTAATTTATTTTAACCGACTTAAGTTATATATAATATATGTATAGTACATTTGTTTTATGTTGTTGATTTTCTTTGTTGGGTCACAGACATGTATATTTGTGCAAGGTCTTCTGTAATCTGTTTATATTATTGTTAGTGCCCGATTTTCCGGAATGTCAATTATAGGCAACATTTAAGTAGCAACCTTCGTTTGTAATTGGAGTCTAATCTGATTCTTCCTATTTTAAATTTGAAGTTTTAATTTATCTTAGTACAGTGGGTTGCTAATACCGTATTTTACATTAGTATTATTTTTTTAATACATTTTTTAATAGTAAGTAAAAATATTAATTAATTATGTGCAGCACCTACATTTGTACAGATTTGGAATCTTTGACAATTCTTTTTTCTTCTTGAAGTTGATTCATCGGAATACAATGGGTACGATTATTTTGCATTAGTATTATTTTTTTAGTATATTTTGTATTAATTACTGAAAAAATTGTTGATTATGATTAATATATTGTATATTATATATTAAAATAATAATTTATTTGTTCTTTTTTTTAGCTGATTATGTACAAACTACAAAGGACGAATAATATTGTGCGAAAATGACGGCCTCCTCTATTACCTAAACTTAAACAAAATCAACACATACCAAAACTGCAACGATTTTTAACACGTAAAGATACTCAACTATAGATAGTTAGTGTCTTTTGATAAGACTCACAAGGCGGCATATATATATAGCAAAATAGCGAAACATATTAGATGTAGCGCAAAATAGTTGTATGTGAGATCTGCTAAAATGGTCATAAGAACCCAACATCTTCCTTATAATGTAAACAACAACAAAAACAACAACATGAGCGCAACAGCAACAAATCTAACAAACACCACAACAAAGACCACTACGGGGCTATCCAATTATTTTTTGAAGAAAAAGCGAAAATTATTTTTATTTAAATTTTTCGATACTTTTAATTGTGCTAAAGAAACGGATCGAGTAAAATTGTTAGACGAAACATCACAACAACCAAATATGCCACCAACAGTAGCAACAACAAAACAGACCGCGGTTACTAGGAAACATAGCGATATTAGTGCTGAAAATGAAAGATTGTCGGAAAATTGTACGCAAGTTTGTTTAATATGCCGACAGGAGATGGTGGACAGTTGCATAGAATGTGGCCAAGTTATGAAGTCAAGCAAGTGTGTGAGTTATATTAGTTGTATGAATAGTGTGAGTAGTGTGAGTAGTATCAATGCCAGCCACAGATCCCATAACACCAATACAAATGACATACCTAGTAGAGATGAAGAAATGATGTATATAAATAGAATATCACACCTAAACAACAAATATGCTGAATTTGACAGCACAAAACAATGCGCAACAACAACGCAACTTGATTTACATCACCAGCAGCACCAACAGCAACAACAACCGCAACAACATCATTGCCAGTCGCATCCTCATCATCACTGCCATTGCAACAAAAAGTGTAACAAACTAGCAACAGTGCTATGTAACAGCTGTTGCTATAAAAATAAACGACAATATAGTTCCTGCCCAACAACAACAGCAACAACCACATTGAATTGTTTATGCAAACATTTTTGTAAATGCTCGAACATAGCTAATGCAAATGAAACGGCGAGTAGCATTGCTATTACAACAAATATGAATATAACAAATAAAGAAATGATTCCTTCAACAACGGTTATCAGTATAAAATCATCAACAACGTCAACGTCAACATCACCAACATCGCTATCGCTATCTGCAAGAAATACAACAACGAATGCAATACCGTTAACTATGGATCATCCAATGAATGCAAGTTTGTTTGATGGAACTACTAAACTAACGGAAGGTACAAATATTAAAGGCAACAACAACAATATTAAAACTGGAAACTCCCCGAGAAGTGAGAGAGAGAGTGAGAGAAAACCGTCTCTAGTATATCGTTTCTTATTGATAACACTTCAATATATGCAAATTTACATGCGAACGCATGTCAACTTTTTTTTCAATAAAAGACAACAATGTCCTCCATTGTCAAGACTGATATTTCTTTATAATTCCTATTCTAAAAATAATGATTATAATAATTATAATTGTAATAGTAATAATTATCATTTAAACAATAATGCTAAAAAGGCAAACAATAAAATGGCAATCGCAGCAAATAAACAAATTCTAAAAGCATCACAACATAAACATACACAAAAAGAAAAACAAAAACAACGCCAACAACATCCACAACATAAACATCACTCCTCCGGACACCAAGATCATGACCCGCGGTTTTTGTCTCATCCCTTCAAGCGACAACCATATCTAAGTTGCATCGATCAATTAACTCGATCGCTTATGTATCTGATTTTAATAATGGTTGCGTTGTCCATCATAGTGCCAACGACACAAGCACAAACATCGCATCAATCCTCGACAGCAACTGGAACTGCATTAGCCACTGGTATAGCAGCAGCAGCAGCAGCTGTCGGTTCTACCACATCACAAGTCACACTATCACGTAACGAAACTGGTAAGTATCTAAAGTAATATACATTTTCATATTTATGCTAATTTCTCAGTCTTTAATTTACGAATATTGCATATGATTTCCACACTCCAGGTATTGACATTTTGTATCTGTTGTACTTAACCTTCAAATAGTTACAAGCATTTGAAGCAGATACAACAGGCACAGCAGATACGAAATCTCTGTTTGCTTATAACGTTTGCGTTATTGAAAAAAGATATAATTTTGCAAAATAAATGTTTCCGTATTAGCATATTCATAAGCAAAATGTTTACAATACTATTCGTGTTATATAAACAGTTGTGTTCATAGTCGTTCGTACCTTTGATATTAACATTTGTTAACAGTTGCCTGCCTGGGAAAGAATCGACTATATCGAGTATATCGCAGTAAAAAAATATTGGAAAACAATTTCAGCGCAACGGTCGTCATAAGGCTAAGGCAAATACATATAGTCTGGCATACAAATTATGTTACATCAATAATAATAAATTACCTTTACTCTTTGTATAATGAAGTTAGATATTGCTGACTTTAGATAAAACAAAAATTGCTTTTGAAGTACTTTAAGTACGTTTGGTACCAATTAACTGGACAACAACACACCTCTTTCAAAGCCTCAAAGCCAGCAATAAAAATTTGCAACTGCCATGAATTATTTTCACTGTAAGGTTAGTTAAGAAAATGATAATGTCTGCTGTATTTTTGAATTTTTATTAAATCATTAGAAATTTTATAATGTATGTAGTAGTAATACGAGGTTCTAAAGATGGGAAATGTTCTAACATAAATTCAATAAATATCTTACATTTTCGGTACTTTCCCTTTTAAAAAGAAAAGTAAATGTTTTACAGGAAGTAATTTTCTATTTTAGTGGAAATTTAAACAAATAATAATATACATTCTAACTGGAATATGCTTTATATATGTGTTAACAAAATCATGCGATTGTGTCAGTCTATTATTTTTATCAAATCCTTGAAAATGTTTTTAGAAGAAACAAAAGCCCTTCCATCTGATAAAAAGGCTTTATCAGATGGAAGATTTAAATATAATGAAAGCTATAACTGGAAACCTAACTGAAATAAAGCTATTTTGAATGAGGGGTTTTTAATTATTATGTTATAATCTGTTACTGTTGTCACGAAGTTGAATAAAAGGTGTCTTAGGTTATCTTAAGGATTTGCTATTAATTCAACGCGATCTACACAGGATATAGTTTTGGCATTTACATTTTGCTTATTATATGTTTTGATATCTCTTCATATCTTTACATTGTCTAGGCATTGCAACGTTGATTAGTACTGGTTCTTCAAAATCAACTTAATGCTCTTTCACTCACTTACAGCATTTCATTAATAGAAGGAATAAAAAATATGCCGACGTGAACTTTTGTATCGGTATTGAAGTCGTCTTCGGAAGTCTTCGGAACTCCTGCAGAACACATACTTGCAGATATGTTGAGATCTATATTTTCCATATACCATTTACAAAATTTGGGCTGAATTCTTATTGCTCTTCTTGAATATCAAGTTGTAAAGTGAGTTTTTGGAATAGGTTTTTGAATTAATTTGACAAGTTTATTGACTTTTCAAACAGTTTGTCACTTCTATATTTCTCACTTCAATGAGACTTTT